AAAACAGGTCCTCAACTGCGTGCCTTCCTTCAAGGCAAATTTATGGTTAAAAGCAACCAAATGAGACCTTATTATTGTTTTATGCTCAATTGAAGATGCCTTGAAATATCGTCTATTGATTAGTTCACCGCATACTTACCCAATGCGATTTTTATCCGAATACGTGGGATTGTTAGTTTTCTCGTCCTCAATACCATCCAATCCATCTTCTGCGCCCTTATTGCGCGTGAAAATAATCTCGGCTCCGTTTAAACAGGTATTCGCTTTAACAAATAAGCATAATTAAAAGTTCATTGTTATCTGATCTTGCAATCAGGACAAGTTAGCAGTTATTTGCAAATTGATTAACTATGTCATCACCGCAGGACGAAATAGGTTGTTTTAAAAAACAGTCGAATTATGTGCAGTGTTTGAAACAACTTACGACGAACTTAAAAACTTAAAAGTTGGTCTTTCGAAATACCGCTCATATTGAACTGCAGAGAAGTGCGACTAATAACCCGGCCACAAGAAGACTTGACCCTGAAGTCGAAGTGCGGATATGGTCTGCGAGATCTGGGCAGCAACCGCTTGACCAGCCTTCGTGTTCGCGGTTTAACCTGCAGTTATTGCGTCTAACCATTCACAACCCAGACAGACCTCGTCTGGCGAGTGTGCACGAACCAGGGTCATCAGGTCAGCCGACAAAGCCAAATCAGTTTTGACTTCTCAGCGTACAATTGCGGTTACATCGGTGTGCAACTCAGTCACTTTTGATCTAGCTTCGTACTTCTACCAATTCGAAAAGCATGTGACTGTTTTGTGCGCAGCGAGACAGACTTAATAAGCGTGTGAACAAAGACTAGACATGAACATGGAAGAATCTGAGATGCAATGTCATCAAGTTGGTGGGGTAGAGAGCCATGTTGAACGTCTCACTCACTTTACTACGCGCTCATCGGGTTCTTTCAAGAAACTGAATTTAGTGACTTGTGGCATCTCTGCTGTGTGGTTTAGACATCTGCCGTCCAAAACGCTTGCTTCCGTCATTTCATTCTTGAGTGGAACTTCATTGGCTACTTCCGCTGTAGAGTCGCATTTCACGTGAGTCCCTATCAAAGGAATTCGCAGTCATGTACAGAAGCAAAAGTTATTAATGGGAGTTCAGTATCAGAAGTGTGTGCACCTTGAGTTCGGGGAAGAAGTAGTCAGTTTTGTACCGATAAAAATTTGCTACTTCACTCTCAAAAAGTGAGGAAGGCGAGTCCTCCACTAACAAGTTGGCCACCAAAGGTGCCACGGGAATCCATCAGGTATATTCAAATGCAAGAATACCTACCTGTTAAAGTTAAACTCAGCCGTTATGATTGCCTCTTTTCTTTAATCGACAAAACTGCCTTAATAGTTGTCTTAAAACTGGTTTTAAATTTCAATATAAAACTAAAAAGCGGTTTTGAATGGCGTGCAGCAACTCTCTCAAACGGTCGTGGCACTTTTTCACAAAAGCAAAATCCAAGAACTTAAGATCACTCGCCAAGACTTGTCCCTTGATTTCACGTACCATTATTGGGACTGACAAAATTGCAGCCTAGCGTTTTTAACGGAATTTACTGAATTCACCGCATTTAGATCCTCTGATGGACAATCATCTCAGTGCTTTGACTAACACACACTGACCCCCGTCCCATCGGTGCGCGTGAAGGCAATCACCCGATGAGGGTAGTTTGTAAACTTGAAACTCACGGTCCACTGACTGACGTTTGTTCTTATTTCAACGGGTCGCGAAAGTGACCACTACAAATGGCGTTCTGAACAGATCCGGCAGTTTCAAAATTTTGCAAACACATTTTACATTCGATTGTCTTCTCTTTGCCTTAAATCTCATTCAGGAGAATCACAAGGGTTGAAAGGTGACACTGATTCGTGCATTAAAGAATTAGGGGAGGTTATCGTTTTGCAAATAATCATGTATACTCAAAGGGGGTTTTCTTAGACTGAATGTCATCTATTTCGATGTTATGGGACCTGAAAGGCCGCATTTTGGGCCTCAAAGAGTCCATAAAGGAGGTTTCATAGACTACCCTCGGCACTTTCGTGGTAGCCAAACTCTTTTACCCATAGGGGTCGATTTCAATAGGATACGCGTACCCCAGCTAAATCATTATTTACGTTGGTTATTGATTCAAGTTTTTCAATTATCAAGTTGAACATCGTCATAGGCGGATGAGAGGAGGCGGAGGATGCAAATCGGCTTTTCTTCTCGATCACACCAGCTCAGTGGTGTCACTTCACGGGTTGATTCTTGTTGATTGCACTTCTCGACGCACACCGCGATTCTGTCTTGCCAAATTGCACAGTCGCCTTTAAGCTCACACACACACATGACAGTAGCGTAGGTTCCATGTTACGCAATTGGGGGCCACGCTTTCTTAAAGTCATTTGTGCCTAACTTGTGTTTTCAAGCAGGACCATTCTGCCCAGTGAGTGCACTTCTGGCCGGTTTTAATTTCCAATCATGCGGCGTTGTAGTCACCTCAGTCGCATAACACCAAGCGTAGTCGTACATTTTGATCAGTACGCAAACATGTAGGAACACCAGTTGGTTTTTGCGGGTGCTGAATCTTCACTAGAAGCCACGTGAACTTGGTAATTTCGATAAATATACAACAGCAGCTGAGAAGAACAAAAACCGTGTCTATTGATGGTGGCCGTTCTTCGCTCATTCAAATTAGGGGAGCTGATGTTGGATAGTTTAGCAGACCTACTGCTTGCGACCCAACGCCTTTTCTGGCAAGACCTATTTTACTGGAATTAACTCTGCATTACAAATACACGAGGTCAGTGAAAGTGCTCGTGTCGTAATTTGATGACCTGTGGTCTATTTGAAATCCGACTTGACGCGAATGTCGGTTGGTGGAATTTTTGCTTTTCGTTCAATCAAAGTCGATAAACCTGGACCGAAGACGCGGTGGACTGTGTATGGAGTTGATTGGTCTTCTGCACAGGCGCTGGCCCCATGAACAAGAGTCTCGCTGTGCCGCCTTGTCGCCTCGATCGGAGGTCAATCCAATCCAGAAGTGTTCTTGCTATTGGCTTATTTGTGGTGTCCCACGATGTGGCTCACCGTCTATGCTGGCAAAGCTCTGTTCTCATCTTTACATCCCGAGTGAAATTACCCATTACATCACTAAAAGCAGAGTGCTTACTCCGAAAACACCCGTCCTTCGTTGTGTTATGTCAAAGGTTTTTTTCTGTAACGCTCAACAACTCCAGAACACCATGAAGGAACGCAAGCGCGTTTGGTCAATCAGAAATTGGGCGTCCCAGTTAGAATTGATCACAAGAGGATCTACACGAGTGACCAGTTGCACTGTCCTTAATATCATCCCACCTGCAAATTCGAATGAGCAAGTTCTTACGCCTTCAGTACAAGATGGGCCTCTCCAATCAAGGTATGCTACTGACGCAAGAATCCACTTTTCGTTCAATTTGACAAATATTTCACACTTCTTATACTCTTATTCTAATTTCATGTCTACTTGAGCGATAGGAAGGATCTGTGTGCAAGTCCTAAAGGAACGGTGCTGCGGTTGGGGTAAAATTGGTCATGCGTACACGCAACATTCTTTAGCAGGTGAAAATTTAATTTAAGAATTACTCGCAAACACACGCCGTCAAACACTAAAACTTGGTTTCGATAGGGGAAGCTAATGTGATAAAGCGACCACACTTCTACCATCCCCTGTTTCTTTTCAGTAGACTGTAATCAAAGGTAAACCATTTTGCAATTTACTTGTCTTAATCACCCCCTGACACACCCAAGGACGTTGGTGCATGCTTCAATCTTCATAACCCCTTCAAGTTTTAAATAAGAAGCGCAAAATTTGCAATCCCAATATGTGGTTGACATTGAGAGCCCTTGGTGCGTGTTGTTCAGACGTCATTCTCTTTTGCCCGAGGATTGCATTAGGCACGTTTAACTGTCCAACGTGGCGCTTGGAACCGAATTCCTGTTTAAGATACTCATTTCATTTTATAAGTAGTATGTTTATTTTGCGTTTGCTGGTTTACATCGAGTTTGGAAACACGTTTACGATAGCTTAGCATACATGGGCCATCCCAGAGTCACTAAATATGTGTTTACATTGATTTTAAACAAAGTTCCGCTGCGGTTGTGCCTTTAACACGCACTGAATGAGCTACCTGCCATCATTTATGAAGCACAAGTGGTTCTTGGCTGTCCTTTTGGGACACACTGCATACATTCAGCTAATTTTACATAATATGAATACAATTGGAGCAGAACCAGCAAACATATGTAGTATGATTGGTTATATCTTTAATTGCCACAACATTTAACATTTTTTCCATCATCTGTTATAAAGTCATGTTTCTGCTTTTCTTTTCTTACAATCAAAGTTACTCCTTTATTGTCACCGCAACAAAGCGTGCTGCCTAATCTGTGATAAATGCGTGCGCATACACATAGACCAAGACGCGAGTTAGCGGGGGTGTGGTGGAACTGTTATTCTTACGTGCGTATGTGCACCGAGGTTATTTACACGTCACGGCGTCAGTGTCACGCCGCGCCAGTAGCTATTGAGCCCGCGTCAATGTGACTTTCTCAAGCGGACGCCGAACGTCACACGTGTGTGTAGGTACCCGCTTGGCGAACTCCGTTTGATCGATCAGTGTCGGCGCCGTGCGCTCTAATTGACGCGCTTGCGAGCACTGCATGCGCGTGCAGGCAGGCGCGAAGTGCAAACGTGCTTTCAGTTTGACACGTGCTAACAACACTAATCAGCTGGTATCAGCGCTCACGTCGCAGGCGCGCACTCCACGAACGCACCAATCGGATGATGCGGCACACCTCATGACTATGCGGTGCACGTTGTATAAATGCCACCAATCTACTATCAGCCCTCTTTATGTGAACATTAGTAAAGAGAGACAAAAGCCCTCTCCGGCTGTTTACTGGTCTTGGTCTCAGGATAAAGGTTCTTGACCAATCCGCAATCGTCATGTCCGTAAGTCGTGGACCCTTCGCGCCACAGCACTTATCGAAAGACTACTTCTTTCAAGGCGACACGACCCCAGTCACACCAATGACCTGCAGCGTCGGAGGAAGCTGTGGAGGACAGTTTTATTGTGTAACTAGTGCGTCTCAGGAGATGTCTACAGCACCGTTAAGTGTGGCCGTGACTTCTGCTCCACACATTGTCGACCCCGGAAGCGGAGTTGGTGCTCCTCCACCCAAGTACGCCATCAGTTCCTCCCACACCGTCTATGCGCATCAAACCAGTGAATCGGATATGAATATTTCTCAGTTGGAACCCTTCGCCTTAAACAAAACGTATTACAAGAACTATGTGGACGATTATTACCCCTCATCTGCTCCTCCCGATGCGTCCCATTTCGTTAACAGGCCAAACGTAAGTATCTATTCGGCTGATGGCTGCCGTTTGCATCTTTAAACACAAAACTTTCTTATCTACTTAAATTTTGTTACGTTTGAAGACCTTGAATTCAATTGGTTTGGTTTTATCGAGGTTACGACAAATCTTTCAGTTTACTCAGGAACCTTACCTGCTTTACTTTAGTTTGCAGGCGAGCGATTCTTGTTGCCGCCATTGTTCAATCAAATACGGGTTAATTTACTCATCTATGACAAAGACTTTAGTCATGCAAATTCATCAGCAAATTAACTCGAGTGGAGTTTTCCGGAAAGTTAGGTAATTTTCCGCATGGACTTCCGATTGACTGTCAATTCGTTTGCACATCAATTATTTGTGGAACCAATTTAACTAGCCTAGATGTTGTGAATCTTCATGAATTTCTACTCTAAGAGAGGGCTCACTTGGGATAAATGAAGTTGAAACTTCGCAAAAAAAACACACTTTGATGTGCAACACCTCATTTTCCACTCCTTCGAGTCGGTAAGAGCAAAAGTGGACTTTTATGTGTCATCGCTTTGGTTAGGCCCTGAAACTTTTTTATGTTATGAACTTTTCGAATCCAATTTAATTCTGATTATTATCCCTTGTAACTGACCCCAAAAGTCAACCAGCCAATCAGAAAAGTTATAGATGTCGATCACAAAAATGCCTTTTTTAATGGTATCGTAGACTTATTTTTTTTTATGTTTGACCTGGACGACAGGAAAGGCAACCATCCAAATTTTTGAACAAATCTGCGTCTTGTGGCAGGACTTAGCACTTGGGCTACTGTTATATATTCTACCGCTTCTCATAGTCCAACACCTCGCTAAATCGGCATCTTTTGATATCCGTGATATTTTTGCCACAAACTGCACACCATTAATGATGGAAGCAGAAACAAAATTTGGTGCTGTTCCAATAAAAAGTAGTTTACAAGTCATGGTTGCAGACACTCAAACCCACGCAGTCTCACACGCACACACAAAATGACAAAGCCGTGTGCTTTGGCGGTTAACACCCGAAACTTTTGGCAGTTAACTGGTCTGTGGCCCCCCATAAACCACTAATTATTGCTTAAACACATGTCTAGACACTTATTAGTCACTCGGCATTGGTACTCTTGTTAACATCTCCAGCGGCTGTGCTGTGGTGCCATTTTAATTACCCGCACCTTGTAGACTTTTTTCACCTACGGACACGTTTATGCTGTGCACAATCGACATTCGGTATTGGTGTGCCTCGAATTGCGAGCTTTGTGTTGAGTCGACGTTGCGATGATGAATTGCGACAATGACACCTGACTTCCCTCATTCGTGCGTTCTCTCCCCGGCCTGTTGCTTGTTGCAGTTTTCTTTCGCAAGGTTTTGCGAGCTAAATACACTGGTTTAGGCCCTGTTATAGTGAAAACGATTAATTTTCACGTTCAGCTACCGTGAATGCCAGAACTGTGAGCCGAATTTCGTTAAAGTGCCCGAACAGTGCAGAAAAATTAGAAGTGCAAACACTAGGCGCCACCAGCACCATTCGATGCTGCTGATAAACACCATTCAAGTCAATCTCGTCAAAGAAAATTTAGCGCGAATGTCGCTCGTAACGGCCGGAAGGCTTACGATGCTAATGTCCATCCCTCAAAATTCCTTAGCCGATGACTTTTTTTTTGGATTTTGATACTGCCACCCGCCTTGCAAGGAATCCCCAATGGTTTCGTGCTTTTGTTATTTGCTGTTGTTGTTGTTGCATCTCCACTAGGTATCACCGCATGACTTCAGCTGCTACTGCTCCCAGCCAACGACTGGACCGCCTTCCAGTGACTTGAGCGCCCCGGAGCCTCCCCCCGCACAATCTTCCGCCCAAATCAGCTTTCCTGAGCGCGCTCCGATGAGTTGCTGCGTTCGCTCAACTTCAAGCCGTTTCGGCTTTGGGGGACGCTCGCTCAGCACCGGCCAACCTCCCCAAATGCTCTACGAGGAGAGTTGGAATGCTCCCAGCAGCGAATTCTACGAACAGAGGCACTCCGACATCCCACCAGCCCCTCACAACTGTTGTGCTCCTCTTCCATTCAACACGCGACCCGACATAACTTCTTTGGTGGTTGAAGAAAATGCAGAAAATATTTATTCGATGGCTCCGATGTCACAACACCCTCACCAGCGGCAGCAACCACCGCAAGAAGCTCACCAAAACAATTTTTTTGATGGTCAACACTCTGCCTCAGGGTGTGCATGTGGCCCTCGATTTTATGACCTAAGCCGACGGAAGGCGCATTCCAACTATGGTGGGGGAACGACTTCTTACTCGACGGAGGCGGTATATCCGGCCGATCCCACTCCATGTTCTGAGAGTGATGCAAGGGGACTTTTTATGAAGGCCTTCATGGAAGATGATGACGATATAAGTCAGCAGCTCCACTCAACGAACCTTGGTCCTTCTCCAGCTAAGCAAACTCAGAATAATTTTCATCGACAGAGCGATGTTATGCAATGCGCGCACAGCTACACTAGCCGGGGCATCATTGGCCCACTACGTTCGGCACAGATTCGTAAATTGTCACTTCGTCGAACTCCAACGCATCATTTGGGTGGTTTTAACGAGCCATTCCTGTATCCATTTTCGGGAGAACAAACCGGGGAGCAAGTTGTCAATGAAGAGCCCCCGGTGTTTCCTATTACGGCCTCAGACGATGTGCTAGCTGCATGCACGGAGGATTTTTCAAGCGCCTTCTCAGAGAACTTTAGTTTGGATGACCTTAAATTGCCACATTTGCCTTCATTGCAGCCAGAATGCCCCACTCCATTGACCTCGTACCGAGCAAAGAGTGGTTCGGCCGAGCGACCTCGGCGCGGTGGAAAAAGAGCCTCCCTACCCTGGTCCTCGCCTGAATCTGCCTCCTCTCCAACCCTCTCCGGTTCCCGGGCCACGAACTCTCAACGCACCACGGAGGCAGCACCGACGCCTAACTCTACGAACCCTACGGCTACAGTCCGTCAATCTCCGAATCACTACCCCCAAGTGAACATCCACGCTTGTCCCTACCCTGGATGCCTTAAACGGTACTCAAAGAGCTCCCATCTCAAGGCACATGTTCGAACGCACACAGGTTAGTGTATATGTCTGTGTTGCGATTCTGCACGTATGTTGTACTTCCGTAGCTCTTGTATTGCTTCCTCCCACTTTACAGGCATTGTGCAAAGTGCGGGTCATATCAGTACAATTAATGTAAAGTAAACTATGTTACAAAAGTACCAAATCACTCATTCTACCCGTAGCAGAAGATTCAGGTGCCACTATTGCGTCATCAGTAGCACCGTAGTAGGTGTTCGAAGGATTCGACATTGCTTCGGTTCTTTTTTAATAAGGCGAGAAGCCCTACGTATGCAAATTTCCCGATTGCACATGGAAGTTTGCTCGCTCTGACGAGTTGACGCGTCACAAACGGAAGCATACTGGAGAGAAGCCATTCGGGTGTGAGACGTGCAATCGTCGCTTCACTCGCAGTGACCATCTCCAGTTGCACAAGAGGACTCACGACAGCTCCCACGGCCACGCTGCTTCATCTTCCCCACCAGCTCCAACTATCCCCCCAACCTCATCGTCCTCCTCGCCGCCCTGTTAGGCACCAAGCGGCCCACCGACGAGCCCCTCCATGACCGACTTGCCCGAGCACAAAGATGTTCTGGTCCCTTTCCTCGTAGTACAGGATCTGCATTTTATCTGGCGAACGCTCAACTAATACCAACTAATTTTGTATACTTTGCTAACATTCACATTCACCTCCGTCCAATTGCCATGCGATATTTACTCAGAATTTGTTTGTACCTTTGTTTGCTTTTCTGAGGTTATTTTCACTACTGTCTATTTTGATATGCGAGTACAGACTACGTAGAGATGCATACATATGTATATAACTAGCATACATATATTTCTGTAACATATAATCCCTATTTTTACAAAGCCTGCTCAAAATTGCTAATGGTAATCTTGTTTGACTGTTCATGTCGCAGCACGCCATTGGTAACTCGGCTTGGGGAAAGGAGACGAACTTGTGGAGATGAGTCATCGTCATTTTGAGAAAGCCTTTTTGCTGGCTCCGTGTAGTGAGCTCAGGTATTATGTCAATAATTGGAAATTGACAATGAGACCTTGACAGTTCCTCCCTGCTTCGAGGTTACGTGATACAAAGTCTCATTTCAGTCTGGACATTTCGCCAGCTCACTGGCTAGTCGCGTAAGCCACGAAAAGTGTGTCAACATCGCGGTGTTAACGGGCTCACGTTCCTAAATTTGTCTACGAAGGCTTTGAAAGGCGAACGGGAAGAAACGATTGGTTACTGGCACCTGAGGTTACATGTTTCACAAAGGGGCGAACCTGAGCTAAAAGCGTTTGACGAAAAGTAAAGTTGTAAATTCTTATAATTAGGTGGCTTGGTATGCTCTTTGATTCCAGCTGCACGCTTCCTTTGTACCATCAATTCAAAATAGAATCTTCACAAACCCATAAAAGACGGTCCACATTGGCACGAAACGAATCAAAAGCCTCAGTGGAGTTAGTGCCACTTTCGTAAAACATTTTTGTTTATTTTAACGGCAATTTATATCAAGTGGTAACATTTGATCTCCTTGCTATGCATTACGTTAAAATACTCCAAAGGTAGGTATCATATGTCGATAAATTATGGTTTTATGTCAATGTTATTTGCAATGCAATTTCTTGATTAAGCCTTTACAACTCGCTTACTTGATGTCAATTCACATTAAAGTTATTTTCGCTTTTTATCCAATTTTGTTATTTTTCGAAAAAATATGCAAAAAAAGTTGAATTTCAGGCGATTCAAAGGACCAGATTATGCTATTGTGACATTTTGACAGTAGTGACCATTCACAGTGCTAATCATATTCAATATTTTGCGTTTTTAAGGAGTCGCATGATCGTAAACCCCCACTATAAGTCACACCTAACACTTTTAAGTGCTGATGTTCTCATCCCATCATCAACCTATCCTTGAAACAACCATCCACGTTTCATTAGACGGTCTAGACTAAGGTTTCACTAATTGCATAAGTCTTTTCAAGAATTGATAGTAGGCATTCAGACTCTTCCCATAAGACCATTCATCCTTTTCCTATTTAAAGTTGAGAACGCTATAAAGTGAATTTCCTCGGACATCTTCTGCGTTACTCAATGCAAAATGTTTAATCCGTTTGCTGATAACCAAGGCATAGCTGCTAATTGGTTGTCTGCGTTGGAGAGCGCATTAGCAGGGAAAGAAGGAATGGCTTGTGTGTAAATTGACTCCTACCCACACCCTCGCGTCGTGAGCAGAAGTGTCAGTTTTAGAAAATTGTCAAGTCGCTCGATCTAGTCACCCTCATGGTGTTTACGACGAAATAGTTTTGATTAAACCTATGCCTCCCTTTGCTTATAAGAGCGAACCCACAGTGACAATTTCGGAATTGTATTCGAGGCCCACGTGAACCAAGGCTAACCCATCATGTGGATACTAGCTAGAGGAGATAAAACATTCTGGGCACGTGACACTGACACCCTCAGACAACGCTCTCATGCATCAACAACCAGTCAGGTTACCACTTGAGTGGTGGCATTTGGATTTTCACCGAGTAAAGTTAGTATGTGGTCGGGTCAAGAGGCCGATAATCACGTGAAATGGATCAGTGGTTGGACTCCATTTAGCACTGATGCAGAACCCTGGTAGGTTAAAAAGCGCTGCACATTTGAAGCCTTACCAATCGGTGTTACTGGTATTGTTTTCATTCTCCTAACAAAAGTATAAGTTGTTACACTCGAAAATGGAACAGTCAGATTCCCAGGTATTTGTGTCAGACATTTTGAACACAAGGCACAAGTATCGCGACTCCGGAAGAGGCGGTATTGGATAGTGCTTTACAACGCTATTAGCAAGACTCGCTGGTATTGTAATGCTAAGCCTGCTGTATCTTAAGCGATTATTGTCCTAAAGAGGTAATAAAATTATGCAAAACAGAAAAACCCGCCATTGACGGACTGAGGATGGTAGTAGTAAGACCTCAGAGGTCGATGATGACTTGAATGGACAAAATGGCATCTTGAATAACACCATATATTACAAAACTTCTAATATCATGGTCAATATCCCTGTCGCGAGTTAGAACAGATGCAGTTGAAGTGTGAGTTAAAGCGGTAATATCGCAAGTTAGAAGGACAGCGGACATGGCGACCGTCACCGAGGTGCGTATCAATGTTTATAAACATCACCTCCACGAGGTTGATTTAAACGAAACCCTTGACTCCGTGCCCTGTCCACAAAAGGGTAAATGAGAGGCCATCAGTGGTGATGCGGTCTGGGGAGGCGGAGCGCAACACCAAATAAAAATAAGAAAGACAACATCGGCAACAACATCAAAACAGTTTCAGTAACTCAAATTTGTCTCAAGCACAAAATGCAGTAGTGTAATGTAATAGAATTATTCCGGTTGCAACATTTAGATACATTCACTTGTATTTCATATTGTAGCCGACTATCTTCATTTTTGCTCAACATAAAACTTGCTCTCCGCAGAACTTTGACTAATGTTAGCAAACTAATTGATCCAGGTTGCATCAACTAACGCCCTAATTTCAACTGTCCACTAACTATCAAAAAATTTTAAAAAAATGGCAACGAATCGAAAGTGGTTGGTTCCACAGTAGGTAAAACAGAATGGCTGAAAGCCAATGAAGCAACAATGCATTTGTCGCAAAAGGACCTCAAATTGCACTTCCACGAGTCTCCTAGAGTAGAACACATGTTTCTAACAGCGCCACTGTGACAACGTTAGAGAACGCTTTTGCTTAGACCTCAGCTCCAACATACACTGCTTTCTTTAGGGTGTAAGGTTCAATCTCACTAAACGCAATCAGTTTGCCCGACTTTCACAAACAAATAATGACTGGGATTACAGACAAAGAAGCGCGATTAAATTATGGAAATAATAAAAAGACGATGGTTCACCGTGCCACACGCTTGAGAGCCGAATTTCCTGAGAGGACGATCAGTATAATCGAATATCAAAACCCAACATAAAATTACTCAGAATTGGTGATTGCGACCAGTAACTTCACAGACTATCATCATAATTCTTTACTTCAAATTTGTCTCTTGTAGCTGCCCAATCGTGGCATTTGTCCCCAGCATCACTCCAGGTGAGTCTGGTGAACTGCGTCCGTAAAGTTCTTCGTCTTCCCGCTGGGAACTTCTTAAGTTCCACCTTCATGTCTGCGCCCAATGCACCACAGCCCCAAGCAGCATTCGCTTCGAGGAAATTTCTCGCATTCTGCCATATACGTAAGTACTATTCATTAATGTGAACTATGCCAATCATCGCTCGATTGCCTATTTAGGTGTGTCTTGCCTTTGCATTATGCCACCATTCTTCCGTTTAACTTTAATAAGGGAACTTTTTCATTCGTTATGTAAATTAATTGTCATGCATTTTTCTTATATAAACTTCTACATAAACATTATTATACGTTTTTAACCAAAATCTATGTCATTCTAAAATTATCTATGTAGTGACAAGACTTATTTAATCTAAACGAGCGTCTCCGATTTGAAGTTAAATTTAATACAGTTTCACAAAATTCAAACTCAAGATCATTTTAAGCAACATTTGCTACCTTACATCTCCTCCACTGTTCTCGCACAAATGTATTTATTACAGCAGAGGGTGTGATGGTTGTCTAGACCCTTGTGAAAATCACACCAGCCAACAGGATGCTATTTCTAAGAAAATTGAGGCCGTGTAGGTAACTTAGGCTCACACAAGCTCTGCTTACGTGTAAGAACTTAAAGCAAGTCTGGCTCAGAAAAGTACGGGAATCTATTC